GGGGGGGGGGGGGGGGGGGGGGGGGGGGGGGGGGGGGGTGAAGCACTTTGGGAAGATTCGTGGCACAGAAGCAGTATTTCCATATTGGTGTTGGGACTGCATGTAGCACTATTTATTGTTTGTTATTTTGGTTCATGGCATTTGGAGATTGAGTGCGGGGTGTCTATGAGGAGTGTAAGTGCCCACTTATACTTTCACAACTAGGAGCACAACTAGGTGCTTTTAACCACCTCCCGTCCGGTGGGAGGTGGCAGTGCAGGGTCGGGTGGCCGTTTTATAAATGGCCTCCCCGCCCCCTACTTGTGCACGCTCTCTGGGAGCGCACAGCACTGCGATCCGGTGCCCACTGTGTCCTCCGGACACAGTGGAACGCTGATCATCGTATGGGACCTCTATGCGAGGTCCCCGATCATGTGATCACTGATTGGCCAATCAGTGATCACATGCAGAGTAGTAAGCAAGATGTCACTTCTGCCATCATTGCTTACTACATGTGAAATCTGTTAATAATCACAGAGGTCACATGGTACAAGGCTATTCACAACAGCCTTGTACTTTGTGACAAGCTGTGACCAATCACAGCTCACACGGTAGTTCTCAATGGCTGCAAGAATGCAGCCAGAGAGAAGGATAAATGATTGCTTTTACAGCCTTTATGGGTGTAAAAGCAATGAGTGTAAAAAAAAAAAAAAAAAAAATCTTCAACGCCCCTCACAAGTAGTACAGTGTCACCATGGTGACACTGTACTGCTAGGGTGATAGTATGTTGAAAAAAAAAAAAAAAAAAAAATAATATAACAAAAAATAAAATAAAAATGTAAAAAAATTTTAAAAATTATTTTTGGTTATAAACTAATTTGGGTTTTTTTTTTTTTTTTTTTTACTATTAAGAACGGAATAAATTTTGGCCAAGATTTATGATGAAATATTACTTATTTGCAAAATTTTATAAGAAAAACACTTTTTCTCAAAATGTTTGGACTTTTCATTTACATAGCAAAACAAATAAAAAAAATCCCAGCGGTGAATAAATACCACCAAAATACAGCTTTATCTGTCTCAGAAAAATGCTAAAAAATTCATATGGGTACAGTGTTGCATGACCGCGCAATTGTCATTCAAAATGTGATAGCGCTGAAAGCTGAAAATTGGCCTGGACTGGAAGGGGGGTAAAAGTGTCCGGACTGGAAGGGGTTAAAGGGGCAGCTCCCAAAAAAAAAATTGCAATGCACCTGCTTTTAAAGGGGCAGCTACAAAAATATTGCAACGCACCTATAGGGTGCAGGTGTACATAATGTCTCACCATATTTGTATTTCACTTTTGGTAACGTGAATGGTGTTATGGTTCTGAAACAGGCAGTAATTTAGCTTGGAGGAAAGGCGCCATGTCTGTTTTTATTTTTATTTGGTTCATGGTATTTGGAGAGGTGTAAGCGCCCACTTATAGTTTCACTTTTACAATTGATCATTCAAGCCTAAGCTTTGAAAGGCAAAGTCCTACCTTTTCGGGAGAAGGCACACTCTTATTTTATTTATTTATTTCAGGTCCTTATATAGTGCCATCAATTTACACAGCACTTTACATATATATTGTACATTCACATCAGTCCCTAACCCTCAAGGGGCGTACAATCTAAGGTCCCTAATCCTCAAGGAACGTACAATCTAAGGTCCCTAACCCTCAAGGGGCGTACAATCTAAGGTCCCTAACCCTCAAGGGGCGTACAATCTAAGGTCCCTAACCCTCAAGGGGCGTACAATCTAAGGTCCCTAATTCACATTCATACATACACATACTAGGGACAATTTAGACAGGAGCCAATTCACCTACCAGCATGTCTTTGGAGTGTGGGGGCATCTTGGGCAATCCGCCATCGGGCGTCAGAGGCTCAAGTATTCAAGGCCGCTACATGGTCTTTGGTTCACACATTAACAAGGTTCTACCAGGTGGATGTCAAAGCCGCAGAGGAATCTGCCTTTGGTCGCAGTATATTACCTATTGCTCAGTAGGTCCTGAGGGATTATTAAAGGTGGCTATCATGGTGTCACCCTCCCCTCAAATTTCTTTATTGCTTTGAGACATCCCACATAGTCATGAATAGCCTGCTCTGTGTCCTATGATGTACAATAAAGGAAACTGGATTTTTTTCTACATACTTACCTGTAAAATCCATTTCTTGGAGTACATCACAGTACACAGAAGTCCCGCCCCTCTTTCTGGAATTTCATTGCTTGCTACAAATACTACTTCCTGTGTAGGAGGGGTTATATAGGTGAGGACCTCCTCTCTGATTGGTCGGTCATTGTCCATTCACCTATAAGTGTCGTATAACCCACATAGTCATGAATAGCCTGCTCTGTGTCCTATGATGTACAATAAAGGAAACTGGATTTTTTTCTACATACTTACCTGTAAAATCCATTTCTTGAAAAACATCACAGGACACAAGTCCCGCCCCTCTTTCTGGAATTTCATTGCTTGCTACAAATACTACTTCCTGTGTAGGAGGAGTTATATAGGGGAGGGCCTCCTCTCTGATTGGTCGGTCAGTGTCCATTCACCTATATTCCTCTGGAACTCACTACCCCAATCCATCAGACTGTCACATACACTCCTCACCTTTAGGCGCACCCTGAAAACCCATCTCTTCAGAGAGGCCTACCCCGCCCTCACCTAACTGCTGACCTCCTCCGCTCTCCCCACCACTCCATCCCCTACAGCTATTTTCTCCTGTACCACTCTCCCCTCCCTCCTAGATTGTAAGCTCCAAGGAGCAGGGCCCTCGAACCCCTCGTATATCTCATTGTATTGTTACTGTGCTGTCTCGTGTACTGTCTCCCATTGTAATGTACAACGCTGAGCAAATTGTTGGCGCTATATAAATACTGCGTAATGATAATACGTGTCGTATAACCCACATAGTCATGAATAGCCTGCTCTGTGTCCTGTGATGTACTCCAAGAAATGGATTTTACAGATAAGTATGTAGGAAAAATACAGTTTTTTTTCTTTGAGACTATATCAGTGCAGACTGCTGCAGAACTAGAAATGATTCCTAATATTCACTTCTGATGTGAATTTAAAGTGATCCTGTACTTTTGGCTATGAGATAACATGTGACTCCCCTCCCATGTGGAATTGAGGAGAGTGCCCTGTGCAAGCTCTAAGCAGAATGGCATGTTCGGGACACGCTTGGCAGACATAGATGCTCACATAGACATACATGGGTCTCTCATACAACAATCCACACCCACCTTAGAAATTCCTCTTCACGTTTAAACACAAGGATGCTTGAAAGTGGGGAAAAGTTGACTTGGAGGTGGAAGGGACTTCCATTGACAGCAGACTAAATAAATAGCTTCTTATGTCTAAGCACAGTGTTAGGGCTTTGTTCACTTCTAGCATGTTGTGAATTCCTATACAAGTCTATAGGAGGACAAAACCCGCTTAAACACATGCCGCCCAGCCACCGCCTATAAACGGCGGCAGGGCGGCGCTTGTAGGCAAAACAACGTTTTAAAACGGACCTCCGCAAAACAGGTAGGGGGCGCGCATGAGGCGCGCGCCCGCCCTACCTGTCCCGCGGGTGTCAGCCGCCGGGTCACGGCTGGTTTTTACCGGCCGTTTTTCCCGCGATGAGCTGTTATCACTGACACAGAGCAGAGCTGCATTGTTCACACAGCCTGCTCTGTGACAGTTCGCCGACAAGCTGCAGAGGGAGAGAAGAATTTCTCTCCCTCGATCAGCTCCCCCCCCCCCCCCCCCCCCCCCCCCCCCCCCGCCCCAGTACACACCCCCGCCCCCCCTAGTAAAACACTCCCCTTACACAGTAAACTCTAAATATGTTAACCCCTTCCTCCCCAGTGACATTAGTACAGTATCAGTGTTTTTTTTTTTTTTCACTGATCACTGTATTGGTGTCACTGGGGATGTCAGTGACCCCAAGTCAGTTCCCCCCCCAGTGTCAAAATGTCCGCCACAGTCCCGCCATAAGTCACTGATCGCCACCATAAGTCGCTGATCGCCGCCATTATTAGTATAAAAAAAATTAAAAATCCCAGTATCTTTCCCGCCATTTGTAAACGCTATAACTTTCACGTAAACCAATTAATTTACACGTATTGGGTTTTTTTTTTAGCAAAGACATGTTGCAGAATGTATTTTGGCAGAAATTTATGACTAAATTTGATTTTTGCATTTTTTTTTACTGGACATGTTTTATAGCAAAAAGTCCAAAATATTGTTTTTTTTTCCTCAAAATTGTCAGCCTTTTTTTTTATAGTGCAAAAAATAAAAACCGTACAGGCGATCAAATACCACCGAAATAAAGCTCTATTTGTGGGAAAAAAAAGGATGTAAATTTCATTTATGTACCGTATTGCATGACCGCGCAATTGTCTGTTAAACTAGCACAGCGCTGTATAGCAGAAAAATGGCGTAAATTGCAGTATCTATCCCATAGTTTGTAGACGCTATAACTTCCACACAAAGCAATCAATATACACTTATTGGGATTTTTTTTACTAAAAACATGGAGCAGAATACATTTTGGCCTAAATTTATAACCAACTTTGAGATTTACTATATATTTTTTATAGCTGAAAAGTAAAAAATATTGTTTTTCTTCAAAATTTTTGGTCTTTTTTTGTTTATAGCGTGAAAAATAAAGAGCGCACAGGTGATCAAATTACACCAAAAGAAAGCTCTATTTGTGTGAAAAAAAGGACGTAAATTTCGTTTAGGTGCAGCATTGCATGACCGCGCAATTATCAGTTGAATTAGTGCAGCGCCGAGTAGCAAAAAAGAGGCGTGGTCATTAAGGGGGGTAAATCCTCAGGAGGGCGAGTGGTTAAATCAGGTCAGGGGGAGGTCAAATGCATCTGAATTCTGAATGATCTCAGAAACATCTCATACTGCTGTAAAACTGCCATCAAGGAAGGCCTTTATAATGATATTATGTACTGTGAGTGTGTTGTCATTTGGTTCCGTCAGTTCTATCATGAACGTGCCTGGAGAGTCCACACTAAGGCGTGAGTTCCTCCGGCTACAACAAGAGAACAAGAGCAATTCAGAAGCCCTGAAACAGCAGCAGATGGGCCCACAGCACCGCGATTCAGAGGCGCATATCAAGCAACTTCTTCATGAGCGCCAGAGACGTATCGAAGAGCAAAAAGAGGAGCGCCGGCGTGTGGAAGAGGTAAGATTATTGATCATTTAGGGTCTCGTGGCCTCTGGGGATCACAGCTCTTTCATTTAAATACATTTAGAATGTTTCCCTGATAGGTCATAGGGTTAACCTGATCACAGGAGATGAGTAAATTATTGCTTGAATGTTAACATGTCTACCTTTTATTTTCCAGCAACAGCGGCGGGAGAGGGAGCAGAGGAAGCAGCAAGAAAAGGAACAACAGAGGAGGCGGGATGACCTGCGACGGGAGGAGGAGAGACGGATGGCCGAGAGGGAGCAAGTAAGTACACGCATCTGCAGATCTGTGTCACAGTAGCTAACCGGAATGTCTAACACCAGAGGCATAGAAAATACTCATTTCTACTAATTATTAACTGCATTTATGTAAACACTTCTCTGCAGCATGCAAACATATCTTTCCTGTCACTGCACCTTACTGTAAGACTGGGCACGCCTCTCCTGTCACTGCAAGAGTGGGCACGCCTCTCCTGTCACTGCAAGAGTGAGCACGCCTCTCCTGTCACTGCAAGAGTGGGCACGCCTCTCCTGTCACTGCAAGAGTGGGCACGCCTCTCCTGTCACTGCAAGAGTGAGCACGCCTCTCCTGTCACTGCAAGAGTGAGCACGCCTCTCCTGTCACTGCAAGAGTGAGCACGCCTCTCCTGTCACTGCAAGAGTGAGCACGCCTCTCCTGTCACTGCAAGAGTGAGCACGCCTCTCCTGTCACTGCAAGAGTGAGCACGCCTCGCCTGTCACTGCAAGAGTGGGCACGCCTCTCCTGTCACTGCAAGAGTGGGCACGCCTCTCCTGTCACTACAAGAGTAAGCACGCCTCTCCTGTCACTGCAAGAGTGGGCACGCCTCTCCTGTCACTACAAGAGTGGGCACGCCTCTCCTGTCACTGCAAGAGTGGGCACCCTCTCCTGTCGCTGCAAGAGTGGGCACCCTCTCCTGTCGCTGCAAGAGTGGACACCCTCTCCTGTCGCTGCAAGAGTAGGCACCCTCTCCTGTCGCTGCAAGAGTGGGCACCCTCTCCTGTCGCTGCAAGAGTGGGCACCCTCTCCTGTCGCTGCAAGAGTGGGCACCCTCTCCTGTCGCTGCAAGAGTGGGCGCGCCTCTCCTGTCGCTGCAAGAGTGGGCGCGCCTCTCCTGTCGCTGCAAGAGTGGGCGCGCCTCTCCTGTCGCTGCAAGAGTGGGCGCGCCTCTCCTGTCGCTGCAAGAGTGGGCGCGCCTCTCCTGTCGCTGCAAGAGTGGGCGCGCCTCTCCTGTCGCTGCAAGAGTGGGCGCGCCTCTCCTGTCGCTGCAAGAGTGGGCGCGCCTCTCCTGTCGCTGCAAGAGTGGGCGCGCCTCTCCTGTCGCTGCAAGAGTGGGCGCGCCTCTCCTGTCCCTGTAAGAGTGGGCGCGCCTCTCCTGTCCCTGCAAGAGTGGGCGCGCCTCTCCTGCCCCTGCAAGAGTGGGCGCGCCTCTCCTGTCCCTGCAAGAGTGGGCGCGCCTCTCCTGCCGCTGCAAGAGTGGGCGCGCCTCTCCTGCCGCTGCAAGAGTGGGCGCGCCTCTCCTGCCGCTGCAAGAGTGGGCGCGCCTCTCCTGCCGCTGCAAGAGTGGGCGGGCCTCTCCTGCCGCTGCAAGAGTGGGCGCGTCTCTCCTGTCGCTGCACTCCTGTCACGGCCAGAGGGGGCACGGCACGCCTCCCCTGTCACGGCACGACTGGACACACACCTCTTGCCATTGCAGCTATGCACATGCATCTCCTGTCACTGCACCTTACTGAAAGACTGGAAACACCTCTTTTGTGACTGTACCTCACTGCCAGACTGGACTCATGCCTCTAGTCAGTGTCTTACTTTCAGACTGCACACAGCCGCTCTCCTGTCATTTCAAGACTGGATAGTTGCTGCACATTACTGCAAGTCTAGACATAGGTTTCCAGTCACTGCACCTTACTACAACATTGAGCCTACCTCTCTTGTGACTTAAAGGATAAGTTCACCTTTTAGACAAAAATAATAAATGCACATTTTTTTGCAGGTAAAAAAATGTGCATTTATTATTTTGGTCTACAGGAGCCTGGAAAGAATTGCACGAGCAATCAGTAGATCTCTGATGCCATGCAGGTCTCCTGCAGACCTGTCAGAATATCTGCTTGCTGTACGGGATGTACAAGCGAGGAGATATTCTGACAGGAAGCTTCAATCAACATTGAAAAGTACAAGCCCACAGCCACTAAGGCTGCCAGTACTTGCAGTTCATTTATTCACAGAAGAATGGGAATGAGTGACACGGCCGTGTGGGCGGAGCCCCTCATGACCACGCTGTTTTCAAATTTGACAGATAATGCGGGGAGACTTCTCCCTGTACTATCTGTCAGAGGGAGGGGTGGGGGGCTGTGACTATGGGAACATGTTACATGTTCCTAAAAACGGGTGGAACATGTTCCCAAAAGGTGAACTTATCCTCTAATTGCAAAACTGAACACATCAGAATTGTTATTGCACTTCACTACAAGCCTAGACAATGGTCACAGCTCTCCTTTAACTGCATCACTACAACATACATCTCCTGCAAGTGCCTTTCCCTGTCAGACTTCTCTGAAATGTCACTTTGCCATAGACAGACCGCTCCTGTAATTGTAATTCACTGCATGACTACATATGCCTGTCCTGTCATTTCACAGAAATATTGGACACACCTCAACTGTCACTGCAGCTCACTACAAGACTGAATACCGCTCAAAATATACTAAAATATTTTGTCCCAGCTTCTAATTTTCTTTTCTTTGTGATTTTTCAGTGTTTCCTGCCTGTGTTACCCTGCAATGAATGTGACTGATTTGTGTGGGTCTTCTGTGTGTGTAACATGGACAGGATGATTCCTCTCGTCCTCCATGTTGTGCATGTTACTGTTGTATGGAGTCTGCCATGTTGTTGGTGTAGGAAAGGGAATGCTCTTCGTGTCTAATGTGGGATTGTTCCCCTCTGAGCTGGTCACTGTGTTCGTCTTCCCAGCTTGTTCTTTTCTGATTTGTTTTATTGTTCATTGTGGGACACAGCACCATGAAATGTACTTGCTGTCAGCAAGGGGATTGACACGAAGAAACTTGATGGTTCCCACAGTGAGAAGCAGTGGTCAGGTTTTTGTTACTATTTGTAGGAGAGAGACTTTTTTTTTTTTTCAAATTATCAATTATGCAAATCTGCTAAATCTTTGTGTGTCATTGGCAATAGATGAAGGGGTTAGACCCCCAAAAGAGTGTCCTGAAAAAATGACCTGCTAATAAAAGTATCACAGACAGTACTCCGTTATGTTACTAGAACATACAAAGGCATTTTAGATGATTGGTAACCGTTTTGAGAAGAACCCTTTTTGTTCTGGTATATCTGTGCCCTTGTATACAAAGCCAGCTCCATAAATACATAAATACATGGTCTGATGGGTTTGGTGTGGAGGAACACTAGTGGCCTCCACGGAGAACTGACCTCAACCATAATGATCACTTTTAGGATGTATTGGAACTCAGATTGGGAGCCGGCGTCGTTACCTGACATCACAGCTTCTCTTCCAGCTGAATGGCACAAATTCCCACAGGCACTCTAAAGTCTTAGAGAAAGCCTTCCCAGAAGAGTGGAGACTGTTATGGCCACAAAGGGGAGGCCAGCTCCATCTTAACAGTCATGGTTTTAGAATGGGCTGTCCACCATGCTTATATAGCTGTGATGGCCCAGTTTCCTCAAACTTTTGGCCATATAGTGCACAGAAAGAAAGTGCAGCGCTAAAAAAATATAAATACGTACTAATACTGGTGTAAAACATATTCAAATCATAGTCCAAAGTAAAAATCAAGCTAAATCACAAATCCATAAAATTATATCAGAATATATTAAAATGAATAAAACTGGTGACAGTTTGTGGCAGGGGATAGGCACAGGAGTTGATAGTGACTTCACGTTCCATTGACGAGGTGATAAATAGTAAAAATACACACTCACCAGATGCGTATATTTCATTACGCATATAATCAATATAACCAGAGGTCCCCCTCATGGGATGGGATAGATGAGCTGGGCCGTCTTAACGGGCTCTCCTCCCTCTTGGCGTAAAACATATTCAAATCATAGTCCAAAGTAAAAATCAAGCTAAATCACAAATCCATAAAATGATAATATCAAAATATATTAAAATGAATAAAACTGGTGACAGTTTGTGGCAGGGGATAGGCACAGGAGTTGATAGTGACTTCACGTTCCATTGACGAGGTGATAAATAGTAAAAATACACACTCACCAGATGCGTATATTTCATTACGCATATAATCAATATAACCAGAGGTCCCCCTCATAGGATGGATGAGCTGGGCCGTCTTAACGGACTCTCCTCCCTCTTGGTATTGGGCAGCCAAACGGTCGTCTCCCTTGCTATAAATCACCGGGTGTCACCGTGGAAGTCTCTTAGGTAAATGGGCAGGATAACTCACACTGGAACTGGGGTCCTCCTCTACATTGGTGGGCTGATGTCAGCAAATGGGAATGGCTCCTGTGCCATGAGGTGTGGGCTCTAGGAATGAACGTTGTCTCACAGAGAAGTCAACAAAAAGTAGCCCATGGTGTAGTATTTTTAAAAGGATTTATTATTCCACGTGGATTGGAAACATTCAATAAAATCAGAGTATACAAACAAAAGTACACTGACCGTGTAAAGTGAAAGGTAGCCACCGGACCTATGTTAGGAACCGGTGGCTGGACATCACGACGTTATGGCCCCTTTGTGCGCCTGACCTTTTATCATGCCTACAATATGTACCTTCATCTGAGGAGGAGGGGGTGAACTGCTTGGAGGATGGCGAATTGCTTCTTTTGCTGAGTGAGTAGCCTATATATACCCCTTGTGGGGTCCATTATTCATTTTCTCCTCGGAGTATTTATTATACAGGCTGTGAAATGGCATGGCCTTGGTAGTAAGTTGGGTTTTAAAAGTCTAGTCCTAAGAACCAAGTACTGAGGCAATGATTGTACGAGAAGAGCATACATTCCTCCATTTTCTGCTTGGTTCCCAAATGGGTTAAGGTAGGTTGGGGTTATGGTGAGTTACCATAGAAATGTGGAAGACTGATAGCAGAAACAGACCAAGTCTTTCTTGATAGGTTTTTGGGGAGGTCATAGTAAAAGTATAAAAGCCTGACCATGTGGTCCATCGAGTCTACCTTCGTATTCTTGAGCTTAGCTTCATACTGTCCTCCTAAACCCCATTAACGCCTTAATTTGAAAGTTTCAGTCACGTTTCTGGTTTT